TAGCGAATTATAATGTATGTTTCAAAAATGTTGATTAATGTTACGATATAAGTGCAGGCCAGCTGATGTGTCGCCTGAGCTGAGGCGTTGCCATAGCGACGGAACCGGCTGTGAGAATGTATCCAAGTTAGAGAAGCCAAAGGGGCGGAGCTAACTGCCACTCGGCCGGGGCAGGCGTTTGGAAAGAGTGCGTTCCTTTTAGTCAGCGGACAAGAGTGGAAGTTGGGTTCTGGTGTGTGGAGACCCTGAACCCGGGGGTTTAAGTCTTCAGCCTGTGTGTTTACAGAGTCAGTTGGGCCTCTTTAAATTAGGAATTAGCTCGTGAGCTCAGGGGAAAGCGGAAGGGAGAAAAAGGCAAGCCAGTGCCTTGAATTGTCAGTGAATCCTTAAATAAATATCTCCTTGATCAGTTCTTTATAATCAAGACTCATGTCCATTTATTGAGAAGAAGATTTACCTCAGAAGAAGGCGGCTGAAGATATTGGAAGAAAGGATTCTGGTTGGGGTCATCATGAGTTCCTCCTTTTTGTAAAAAAGTGCCTCCAGTAAAAACATTTTAAACGTCAAACCTCGGCTCCACGCACCACCACGACTTTAGTCTCCTCGTTGCCCTGGTTATTTATTTGTTTATTTCGAACACTTTTGCCCCGCCCTTCTTAACCCTTTGGGGGACTCAGGGCGGCTTCCAATTGGCAACAATTCGATGCCGCATCATAAAATACAAAATGGCAATTATAACAGTTAAAAATATAAACATTAAGACATAAAAATTAAAACAGTATACTTACAGTCCATTGAGTTATTACCAGTCTGGTGGCTATTTATCTAGCCATATACTATGACTGAGTACTCCGTTTAACATACCCATAATCCACTTCCAAGCCATAGTCAACATTGTCAATTGTCCTTTTAACCTAATTGCCCAAAGACCTGGTCCCACATCCACGTTTTTACCTTCTTTCTAAAGGTGAGGGGGGATGATGACGGAATTTCCCCGGGAAGTGAATTCCACAGGCAGGGGGCCACCACCAAGAAGGCCCTGTCCCTTGTCCCCATCAAACGTGTTTGAGACAGAGGCGGGGCCGAGAGCAGGGCCTCCCCAGAAGATCTTAAACTCCGAGGTGGGACGTAGAAGGAGATACGTTCGGACAGGTACGCTGGACCGGAGCCGTATAGGGTTTTATAGGTCAAGACCAGCAGTTTGAATTGTGCTCGGAATTCGATCGGCAGCCAGTGGAGCTGACATATATGTATGTGTCGTTTGTTTGTTGTATTTTACAGAGGCCTTGCCATTGTTGTCTGCATATGCAATCCACCCCCATCCTTGTTGTGTGAACTTACTCTGTTTGAGAGTGTCTTTATATATTAAAAGAAGACCTGTACATAGTTATAAGTAGCAAATAAGTCAAGAATACAACCCCCAAGTCAGACCTCAAGAGTGTTGCTTCCAAGAGATGAGCTCCTTTACAAGGCCAGAGGCTGTGACACTGTGACCAGGACTCTGCGCTGGAAAGCGGGCCATTCTAGAGAGGAGGGGGCTCCCCACCCACAGGCTCCCCACCCCAGCGTGCGCTTCCGTTCCTCTTACTTGCCACCTGCTGTTTCTGCTCTAGAGTAAGAGGCACTCACAACCTGGGGATCACAACCAGACACAGTGGAGACATCTGCCCTTGCGCTTGGCTACTCTGCTGCTGAATACGCATGCCCAGTGTGGGACACATCTCACCACGTTAAAACAGTGGATGTGGCTCTGAGTGAGACAGGCCACATTATCACAGGATGCCTACGCCCCACTCCGCTGGAGAAATTTTACTGTTTAGGCGGTATTGCACCGCTGGGAAATGTTTGTGTGTGTCAGGAGCGAGTTGAGAAACTGCAAGTCCCACAAGGATGGTAGAACATTTTAAACAGGCTGGATGGCCATCTGTCGGGGGTGCTTTGAATCCGATTTTCCTGCTTCTTGGCAGAATGGGGTTGTTCGGATCTCCTGGGCAACGTTCTTGCAGATGGCCAATTCTCTCACACCAGAAGTGACTTGCAGTTCCGCCGGGAAGCAGCAGCCAACAGTGAAAGGACCAAGGCAGTGGCACCTCCGGCCCATCCCCCGTAGATAACCCCATGATGTCCCCCCCCCCCGGGGCGTACTGTGCCCCCTCCTTGCCCCGCTCTCTCTCTCTCCTGGGCCCACCCCCTCCCGAGTCCACCCCGCCCAAAAATCCCCCTTCCTGGCCCGGCCTCAGACATGTTCCATAGCCGAGGATGGCTTGTGGCCAGAGGACGGTCTTAGTGAGAGAGTGGGGAGAGCGGTGTCAGTTCAGTTTGAGATACCTCATGGGAAAGGTGCCTTCCCTCCTCCTCCTCTGGGGAGTATTTGGGGGTGGGCCCTGCCCTCTCTTTCCCTCCCGAGGGACCCTCCCTCTTCCCTCCACACAGACTTCCTCTTGTCCTGCTTCTGAGGAGGGCAGGGCTCAGCCTTGGGACCCTTTCTATTGGCTTCCCTTTCCTTCCACACTCCCAGGCCTTCCCCTTCCCTTCCTGGTCTAAGAGGCTCTTCCTGGGCTTCTTCCTCCTGCAGATACACAGCTTTGCCCTCACAGAGGCTCCTCTCACACCAAACTGACACAGAGATTGACACCTGAGGCCTTCATCCTGGGGCTCCTGTCACACTGAGGCCTTCTCACACTGAGGCTTTCTCACTCTGAGGCCTTCTCACACTGAGGCCGGCTAAGCTACAGGTCCAGCTGCCTAGATTGAGCTGCATCCATTCAACCAATATTTCTGACACACACAGAGAGAGAGAGAGATTGAATTGGGAGCAGAACAGGAGCTCAGCCCAACAGGGAGGGAGGGAGGGAGGGAGGGAGGGAGGGAGGGAGGGCCAGGCTTGAGGATTGGGCTGAGTGGTCCTTGGGTGAGGAGGCTGTGGTCCACCTCCAGCCTGGCTGGTCTCCCTCTCTCTCTCTCTCTCTGAATGGCAGGAATGGGCAGCAGCAGCAGCAGCCGCCAGAGGGAGCCTCAGCCCGGAAGGCGCAGGGGGCGGGTCTGCCTGGAGACTGGTGACGCGGACAGCGGAGGCCCATTCCCATTGGCGCATCCCATTGGGAATTCTCTTCAGGAGTGGCAGAAGAAGGAAGGGAGGGAGGGCGGAGGAGTTTCTGCCCGGAGACCGGTGACGCCAGAGAGGGAGGCGAATTCCTATTGGTGGGTGCTGGGCATTTGGAAGAGAAGGAAGGAGGCTCTCTCTCTGGTTCCTCTGTTCCGGACTCCACAGCCGCGAAGAAGCCCCGCCCCTCTCTGGGCCCTCTCCATCCCGCGGCTGCCATGCCTGGTCCGGGCGGAAGTCCAGCGAGAGGGGGCCAGCCTGGGTTTCCTAGAGCGGCGAGGGAGGCTCGGGCGCCGCCTTTCCCGTGAGCTGCTCACTTCCGGAGGAGGGGAAGGGGCGGGGCTTCGGTGCCGTGCTTCCTGTTGACGAGGGAAGAGGAGAGAGAGAGGTGAGTCCTGGCTGTGGGCGCCATCATCCCTGGGGCCTGGCCTTCCCCTCAGGCTCTGCCTCCCTCCTCAGGGCTCCGGGCTTGGCTCTCCTGTCCCGTCTCCTCCTCCTCCTGCTGCTCGGCCTTTCTGTCCTGGCTCGGCCCCGGCCCTCCCTCTCAGAGGCCTCCTCCTCCTCCTCCTTCTTGGCGGCCTAGGCTTGGGAGGGAGCCTGGAAGGCGGCCTCTCGAGGAGACTCTGCGGCCTGCTGCTGGGTAGGTGGCTCCTCATGGCAGTGCCTCCGCCTCTGGGCCTCCCTGCCCCTCCCTCCCTCCACTCCCAGCAGCAGCAGCAGGAGAGAGAGAGCGGCCTTGGCCCCTGGACCCTCGGGCAGAGGGAGCCGAGAGAGAGAGAGAGAGAGGGTCTCCCCTGGGCTAGGCTCAGCATATCATGTAAGGGATATACATATCCTGTTTATAATATGGTAATGTAATACAATATACTAATAATAATATGATACTATAATATTATATATACATGTAATATTGGTAATAATATTACAATATAGTGGTATAGGACAATACGGAAATCTAGAATACTGGTATTGTGCTATGCCGGCCTGCATCAAGAGGAGCCTAGTGTCTAGATCCAGGGAAGTCATGCTCCCCATGCTCTATTCTGCTTTGGTTAGACCACTTTGCCTGGAATATTGTGTCCAATTCTGGGCACCACAATTCAAGAGAGATAATGACAAGCTGGAATGTGTCCAGAGGAGGGCGACTAAAATGATCAAGGGTCTGGAGAACAAGCCCTATGAGGAGCGGCTTAAGGAGCTGGGCATGTTTAGCCTGAAGAAGAGAAGGCTGAGAGGAGATATGATAGCCATGTATAAATATGTGAGAGGAAGCCACAGGGAGGAGGAGGGAGCAAGCTTCCTTTCTGCTTCCTTGGAGACTAGGGAACAATGGCTTCAAACTACAAGAGAGGAGATTCCACCTGAACATGAGGAAGAACTTCCTGACTGTGAGAGCCGTTCAGCAGTGGAACTCTCTGCCCCGGAGGTGTGGTGGAGGCTCCTTCTTTGGAAGCTTTTAAGCAGAGGCTGGATGGCCATCTGTCAGGGGTGATTTGAATGTGATATTTTAACTTCTTGGCAGGGGGTTGGACTGGATGGCCCATGAGGTCTCTTCCAACTCTTTGATTCTATGAGAGGAGAGAGAGGGGGGGGGGGGCAGAAGGCAGCCAGCTCCACCGGGTCTCCCCTGGGCTAGGCTCATCATATCATGTAATGTATATACATATCCTATTTATAATATGGTAATGTAATACAATATACTAATAATAATATGATTTATTTATTTATTGTATCAGGGGCAAACAAACAGTTGTATTACATTTTTAACAGAACAAACTGATATACAAAGCACAAAGTTTGCAGGCTTGGCATTCTGTTAAATGTCCTTTGAGCAGTATCTGTCCCCTTGGAGTGCCTCTGGTGTTCCCGCAAGGAGGTCCTCCATTCATTGTGCATGTGGCAGGGCTCAGGGTGCATTGCAGCAGGTGGTCAGTGGTTTGCTCTTCTCCACACTCGCATGTCGTGGATTCCACTTTGTGGCCCCATTTCTTGAGGTTGGCTCTGCATCTCGTGGTGCCAGAGCGCAATCTGTTCAGCGCCTTCCAAGTCGCCCAGTTTTCTGTATGCCCAAGGTGGAGTCTCTCATTGGGTATCAGCCATTGATTGAGGTTCTGGGTTTGAGCCTGCCACTTTTGGACTCTCGCTTGCTGAGGTGTTCCGGCAAGTGTCTCTGTAGATCTTAGGAAACTGTTTCTTGATTTAAGTCGTTGAAGTGCTGGTTGATACCCATACGGCATGAGCTGGAGATGTCACTGCCTTGGTCCTTTCACTATTGGCTGTTACTTCCCGGCGGATGTCAGGTGGTGCAATACCGGCTAGACAGTGTAATTTCTCCAGTGGTGCAGGGCACAGGCACCCCGTGATAATGCAGCATGTCTCATTAAGAGCCACATCCACTGTTTTAGCGTGGTGAGATGTGTTCCAAACTGGGCATACGTACTCAGCAGCAGAGTAGCATAGCGCAAGGGCAGATGTCTTCACTGTGTCTGGTTGTGATCCCCAGGTTGTGCCAGTCAGCTTTCGTATGATATTGTTTCTAGCGCCCACTTTTTGCTTGATATTCAGACAGTGCTTCTTGTAGGTCCAGAGTGACCCCCAGGCATTTGGGTGCACTGCAATGCTCCAGTGGGATTCCTTTCCAGTTCATCCCCAGAGCTCGAGATGCTTGTCTGTTCTTAAGATGAAAAGCACACATCTGCATTTTAGATGGATTAGGAATCAATTGGTTTTCCTTATAACAGGCAGTAAGAGCACCCAAAGCGTTGGAGAGCTTCTCTTCGACCATTTCAAAGCTCCTTGCTTAAGCAGCAATGGCAGGATCATCAGCATAGATGAAGCTCTCTGTCCCTTCTGGCAATGGCTAGTCATTTGTGTAGATGTTGAACATGGATGGAGCAAGCATGCTCCCCTGAGGCAGGCCGTTCTTCTGTTTCCGCCATCTGCTTCTCTGGCCTTGGAACTCAACAAAAAAGCTCCTGTTTTGTAGCAGGTTTCCTATGAGGCGGGTGAGGTCGTAGTCCTTTGTGATATCATATGTTTTTCTCAGGAGGAGGATAATAATATGATACTATAATTATATATATATATATATTACATGTAATATTGTACTATACCACTATATAGTGGTATAGTACAATATGGAAATATATAATACTGATATTGTACTGTGCTAATAGTATTATATATAATATATGTGTATGTGGTATATATATATATACACACATCTTGTAAGTTGCTCTGAGTCCCCTTCGGGGTGAGAAGGGTGATATATATATATAATACTAATAATAATATTTATTCTAATATATAATATAATAAGATATTATAATTATATATTTTATATTACATGTAATATTACATATAATATATAATACTGATATTGTACTATGCTAATAGCATAATACATTGTATGTCTATATATCTTGTAAGTTGCTCTGAGTCTCCTTCGGGGTGAGAAGGGCGGCATAGAAATGCCATAAATAAATAAATGTCCTCCAGCTCATAGCAGACAAGATGGATTCTCTGATCTCTAATAATCTGGATGGTGTGGCAGTGTGGAAGGGGCCTCACACAAGACACTCATCAGCCCTTCCTTCCTCCTCCTTCCCCTCCCCGCCAGAGATGCCCCTGCCCTGCCTCTTGCCTCCTCCTCCTCTTCCTTCTTCAACTCCCTTACCCAACCATAAGAGACTCGGATCCTTGGGAAGAGCCAGATACCCCTGCCCTGCCTCTTGACTTCTGGACTTCATTTCCCCTCCTGCATCTCTGGAATTCCTTTGGGATAGCCAGAGATTCATAGAATCCTAGAGATGGAGGAGATCTCGTGGGCCATCATCCAGTCCAACTCCTTTCACTCAAGAAACAGGGAAATTGCCTTCAAAGCCCCCCTGACAGATGACCAGCCAGCCTCTGCTTCAAAGCCTCCAAAGAAGGAGCCTCCACCACACTCTGAGAAAGATCCTCTGCTGATGGGCTCTCCCTCACAGTCAGGAAGTTCCTCCTCAGGTCCAGGTGGAATCTCTTTCCTTTCCTGTAGTTTGAAGCCATGGCTCCCTTGCGTCCTAGTCTCCAGGGCAGCAGAAAGGAAGCTTGCTCTCTCTTCCCTAGGACATATCCCCCTCATATTTACATATGGCCCTCATCCCTCCTCTCAGCCTTCTCTTCTTCAGGCTAAACATGCCCAACTCTTTAAGCCGCTCCTCATAGGGCTTGTTCTCCAGACCCTTGATTTTTTTAGTCGCCCTCCGCTTTCTCTCTCTTAAAAGGAGACCTAAACCACTTACAATCAAAGTTACACAGGATATCATTGAAAACCGAAACACACACATGTTTGTTTATTATTGACGATATGGTTACCCCGCCTTTCTCAAACCCGAAGGTGACTCCAGGCGGCTGTTGCGGAAGCCCCTGCTTGACGCTTTGAGGTGGGCTCGGTCTCAGCTCCACTAGCAGGGGACCCTCAAGGAAACCCCCCCAAATGGGCTCCCAGGGCCAAAGAGGGGGCCGTAGTGGGGGCAGTGGACTCGATGGCCTCCCTCCTCCCTCTAGCCATAGCACAAACATTGAATGATTGATTGATTGATTGATTTGCCACATTTATATGCCGCCCTTCTCACCCTGGAAGGAGACTCAGGGAATGTTGTTGTAGGGTTTTTGGGTTGTATGGCCATGTCCTAGAAGCATTCTCTCCTGACGTTTTGCCTGTGGCAGGCATCCTCAGAGGTTGTGAGGTCTGTTGGAAACTAGGAAAATGGGATTTATTTATTTGTGGAATAATGCCTGGGTGGGAGAAAGAACTCTTGTCTGTTGGAGGCAGGCGTGAATGTTTCAGATCATAGAATCCTAGAATCCAAGAGTTGGAAGAGACCTCCTGGGCCATCCAGTCCAACCCCATTCTGCCAAGAAGCAGGAATATTGCATTCAAATCACCCCCGACAGATGGCCATCCAGCCTCTGTTTCAAAGCTTCCAAAGAAGGACCCTCCACCACACTCCGGGGCAGAGAGTTCCACTGCTGAACGGCTCTCACAGTCAGGAAGTTCTTCCTAATGTTCAGATGGAATTTCCTCTCTTGTAGTTTGAAGCCATTGTTCCATTGCGTCCTAGTCTCCAAGGAAGCCGAAAACAAGCTTGCTCCCTCCTCCTCCCTGTGGCTTCCTCTCACTTATTTATACATGGCTATCATATCTCCTCTCAGCCTTCTCTTCTTCAGAATGGCCACCTTGATTAGCATTTGATGGCCTGACAGCTTTTAGGTGTGTTACTCCCTGGGGAAAACCTTGGCTGAGAGGTGACTGGTGGGATGTAAACATTTATCAATACAAGCTCCATTTCTTTATGACTTAATGGCCAATATGTTATGATTATCATCCCCCATGAACAATCCTTCCCCTTGCCACTGTAATTCCTCCTTAATACATATACATAGGCCCCCCCCCCCCGAGGAACGCCCCTTATTCCCTCTTTTATGAGCAGGTGTATGCCAACATTGAAATCCGGGTAATTGTATTCAGCCATCCACTTCTACTAGCCAACATTCTTGTAATGCTAATCTCTCAAAATCAGATAGGAATCTCACCAGTTCACAATCCACAGTCTCTTACCATCCAGCTACATTCCAGGTTACAATCTGAATAGGTCTTTCTGTATCTAAATGTTCTGGTTGACCTGGTTGTGCTAGTATGGAAGATTCTGACAGTCAGTTTATATCTGGAGCTGGGACAATGTCATTAGAGGAAGCCACAGGGAGGAGGAGGGAGCAAGCTTCCTTTCTGCTTCCCTGGAGACTAGGGAACAATGGCTTCAAACTACAAGAGAGGAGATTCCACCTGAACATGAGGAAGAACTTCCTGACTGTGAGAGCCGTTCAGCAGTGGAACTCTCTGCCCCGGAGGGAGTGTGGTGGAGGCTCCTTCTTTGGAGGCTTTTAAGCAGAGGCTGGATGGCCATCTGTCAGGGTTGATGTGAATGCAATATTCCTGCTTCTTGGCAGAATGGGGTTGGACTGGATGATGGCCCATGAGGTCTCTTCCAACTCTTGGATTCTATGATCAGTATCACCAGTGTCTCTCTTCTCTGTGTCTCTCTTCTCTGGGTTGCTGCGGGTGCTGTCCATTGCTGGCATTTATCGTAGCTTTTGTCCTCCTTGTATTCGCACTACCTTTAGTCGTTGTTGCTTCTGTTTTCGCCAGCATAATGTCTGTAGCCATGCCTGTGTTATTAGTGTTCATTCTGTTGCTAAATGAGTTTGGGGTTGCACTCCTTTCCCTATTTTTGCTTATCTGGCCATCTTGGACCTGTCTGTGAACAGTAGTGCTTCCTTGGTTTGGTGCGTCCTCCTGATTTAAGTCCTTACAGCTTAATATTGGATTTAGGTGTTTCATTCCGGTTTGTTTCCTTGAAAACAGAGGTCTAAAACGAACGTCCTTGTAATAGCGTACAGGGAAAATTCCCAAGGTGCTTAGGAATGCCTTCTTCCTCAATAATAATCCAGGAATATAGGAGTGTTTGAAATGGAGTGACACCCTTGGGAATTCCCAAGTACCCATCAGAGGCTTGACTGCTGATAGAGATGTATTCCTGCATTCCAAAATCTCTCTGATATTATTATTATTATTATTATTATTATTATTATTATTACTTTATTTGTACCCTGCTAGCATCTCCCAAGGGATTCGATGCGGCTTACAATAGGCCGGAGCCCAACACAATACATAGCAAATAAAACAGTTAAAGCAGAAAAGCAATAGCAATACAACAGGACGTTATTAAAAACTGAGCCGGCCGGAGTGGGGTACAGGGTTAAAAGTGCTGAAGTGTCGGAGGGATATGGGGTTAGAATATAAGTGCAGTGTGCGGTGAAGGTGATCTTGACTCTACTAAAGTGCTTCTGGGCTTTGATAGTGGGGTTCCTAATCTGAGAAGGCATGTTGGAACAGCCAAGTTTTCAGGTTCTTTCTGAAAACCGCCAAAGTAGGGGCCTGTCTGAGATCTTTCGGGAGGGCATTCCAGAGGCGGGGAGCCACCACAGAGAAGGCCCTGTCCCGCGTCCCCACCAAACGCGCCTGCGATGCGGGCGGGATCACGAGCAGGGCCTCTCCTGATGACCAGAGTGAATGTGTGGGTTCGTAGACTGTGGTGCGGTCACGCAGGTAGGGTGGTCCCAAACCGTTCAGGGCTTTGTAGGTAAGCACCTGCACCTTAAATTGGGCTCGGAAAATAAACGGCAGCCAGTGGAGCTCCTTAAACAGAAAGGTTGACCTCTCTCTGTAATGGGCCCCCGTTAACATCCTGGCTGCTGCCCGTTGGACCAATTGGAATTTCCGAGCCGTTTTCAAGGGCAGCCCCACGTAGAGCGCATTGCAGTAATCCAGTCTGGTTGTTAGCTTTGTGTACGGAAGTCCAGATGGGCAGTGCTCCATTAAAAGGGCAAATATCTAATACTAGTACAAAGTTTTGTATCCTTAAACTGTTGCCTTGTTCCTTCTGGGCTCGTTCGTTTGTGTCCATGGCCTGAGAAGGGTTTTCCCCATTTCCTTGTACTGCAGAGGGCCTCCTGTATCTGTGATTGATTGCTTTGTAAGTAAACCCAGGATCTCTATTGCTTTGGAGCTCAGGAGTTCAAGCATCTTTGCCATTAGAAGACATTGCTCAGGAAGCAATGATAAATCAATTCTGTCCTGACGTGTTTTGGAGCTTTCAATCTTGCCTCTTCCTCAACCCCCACATTCCGCCTTACTTGATCAGGGAGTGGTGTCAGCTCCTCATCCCTCAAAGGTTCGAATGAATCTGTTGGTTAAAGGGATAGCTGTCTCTTCAGGTGTCCTTGAGGGCCGTGCTTGGCGTGCAATTGCAAAGTCCTCTAAGTAACTTTGTTTTAGTAAAATGGATTCACCCACTGGCCTTGGAGATCTTTTCCTTCTTTTACAATCCTTCTTGTCGTTTTGAGAGCCCTCAACAGTTGGTGAGGCAAGTCTTTTCTTCCTTTTAGGCATTTTAGCTGTGCCTCGCGGCTCTTCTTGTTTTGTCTAAAGGATTATCAGCAGCTTAATTAGTTTCTCTTTCCTCCCTGGCTTCCCCAGATATAGTTTAAAATAGTTTGAAATAATAGCTGATAAAATGCTAGTATGCAATAATACAGATATTTAAAACGTTAGATAAAACGTAAAAACAGACCGGGGAGTTTAACTACACAGCCGTTCTCAGTGCCATCTTGGAACCTCGTATTCCCACCCCAAAGGGGACTCGGGACGGAGCGCAGCATATGTACGGCAAACATGCCGGGACAAGAATTCATGTGGGTATACATAAACATTAGAAACATTGATCAAAATGCTACTTGTGAATGTGATCAATAAACTCTGGTTAATTGGGGGACCATTTAACTGGTGGCACAAGCTGTACAATGTCCTGCTTAGGAAACAATCCTGGCACTACCCAGGTGACAGCTTCAGCTCAACTTATTTATTTTTTATTTATCATGTCAGGAGCAGACCAAACAATTGTATTGTATTTTTTAACAAACAAACAAAACACAAAGTTTGCAAGCTTGGTAGTTGATTAAATGTGCATTGACCAGTAGCTAGCCACTTGGAGTGCCTCTGGTGTTGCTGCAAAAAGGTCCTCCATTGTGCATGTGGCGGGGCTCAGGTTGCATTGTAATAGGTGGTCTGTAGTTTGCTCTTTTCCGCACTCGCATGTCGCGGATTCCACTTTGTGGCCCCATTTCCTAAGGTTGGCTCTGCATCTCGTGGTGCCAGAGCGCAGTCTGTTCAGCACCTTCCAAGTCGCCCAGTCTTCTGTGTGCCCAGGGGGGAGTCTCTCATTTGGTATCAGCCTTTGGATTGAGGTTCTGGGTTTGAGCCTGCCACTTTTGGACTCTTGCTTGCTGAGGTGTTCCAGTGAGTGTCTCTGTAGATCTTAGAAAACTATTTCTAGATTTAAGTCGTTGACATGCTGGCTGATACCCAAACAGGGGATGATCTGGAGATGTCACTGCCTTGGTCTTTCACTATTGGCTGCTACTTCCTGGCGGATGTCAGGTGGTGCAATACCGGCTAAACAGTGTAGTTTCTCCAGTGGTGTAGGGAGCAGGCACCCCATGATAACTGGCAGGTGATCCTCAATAAAAACCCTGCAAATGGGCTCCGAGGGCCAAAGAGGGGCCTGTAGTGGATGCAGTTGATGGCCTCCCTCCGACCCCTAAAGCCATAACACAAACATCATCTTTAACACTGGGAGTCCATCCTCCCATTTCCTCTATACCTCTTATCTCGTGTACTGCTGCTAGGATGAGTGCCTTCCACCCTGTGCTTCTGCATCCCTATCTCCATTTTTGTGGTCTTGGTGCAGGAGTTTGCTTGGTTTTTTTTTCTTTGCATTTGTTCTGCCTGAGGTCAGGAAAAAATTTGCTTCAGTTGGAAGAAATGAAGTATTTTTCTCCCAAGACTGACCACTTGGGATGGTCTGCCCATACAGCTGGTCACTCAAGTTCTGAGTTGGGATGTGAGGAAGCGGGATCCAGGCAGGAAACGCTTTGCAACCTTAAACCTTTCTGTGCTGACCATGTTGTTAGAAGTCTTCCTTTGCAAAGATTGGATGACACTCTGAACACACTGCAGTGCAAACAATCTCCTGCAGAGAATCGTGGGCCATTCTCCCCTCTTTGCAGGGCTTGCTCTTTGTTGGGCAAGTGTTAAAGACCTTCTCGGCAGGCCAAGGCTCTTCTCAATAGGACCGCTCTTTCTTCCTTCTTCTCCGGCATTGGCTACAGCACTAAGTTATTGTTCTTATTGTTCAATGAGGTATTTCTGTGCTCTGCTCCTGATAAGATTTTCCTCTCATTTCTCGGGCAGGTAACCTCTGAATGAACCTTGAGAAGAACACTTCCCATTGTCAGGAATGAAATTATACAGCACTCACAAGAAATAAGTTGGAGAAATTATATTTCGAGCTCCATAGCTGTGGAGCTCGGACAGCTGTCAGGGGTGATTTGAATGCAATATTCCTGCTTCTTGGCAGGGGATGGACTGGGTGGCCCATGAGGTCTCTTCCAACTTTTTGATTCTATGATTCTATTCAAGGAGGAAAGGGAGGATTGTGCTGTAAAAAGTGGAGCTTGGTAATTTATTTATTCAAATGGACTAGAGCAATAAAAGGACTGAGAAGACGAAATAAGGAGAATATATCTGTGACCTTCTGGCATAATATTTGAAAGTAAAAGAATGGAAAATCTCAATTCCTTGTCAAAATCACACACAGGGGAGAAGCGATATAATTGTATGGAATGTGGGAAATGTTTCACTTTAAGAAGTTCTCTTACTACACATCAACGAACTCACACAGGAGAGAAGCCATATAAATGTGTGGAATGTGGAAAGAGCTTCAGGGACAGTGGAGATCTGCGTATCCATCAAAGGACGCACACAGGAGAGAAGCCACATACATGCATGGAATGTGGAAAGAGTTTCAGTCAGAGTGGGACTCTGCGCTCTCATCAAAGGACCCACACAGGGGAGAAACCACATAAATGCTTGGAATGTGGAAAGAGCTTCAATCACAGTGGACATCTGCGTTCCCATCAAAGGACCCACACAGGGGAAAAACCACATAAATGCATTGAATGTGGAAAGAGCTTCAGTCAGAGGTATAGTCTGCATACCCATCAAAGGACCCACACAGGAGAGAAACCACATATATGCATGCAATGTGGAAAGAGCTTCAGTCAGAGTTCAAATCTGCATACCCATCAAAGGACCCACACAAGGGAGAAGCCACATAAATGCATGGAATGTGGAAAGAGCTTCAGTCAGAGCGGGAATCTGCATACCCATCAAAAGACCCACACAAGGGAAAAACCACATAAATGCATGGAATGTGGAAAGAGCTTCAGTCACAGTGACAGTCTGCGTGTCCATGAAAGGACCCACACAGGAGAGAAGCCATATAAATGCATAGAATGTGGGAAGAGCTTCAGTCACAGTGACAGCCTGCGTATTCATCAAAGGGCCCACACAGGAGAGAAGCCACATAAATGCATAGAATGTGGAAAGAACTTCAGTCAGAGGGGGAATCTGCGTATCCATCAAAGAACCCACACAGGGGAGAAGCTACATAAATGCATGGAATGCGGAAAGAGCTTCAGTCACAATGTAAGTCTACGTATTCATCAAAGGATCCACACAGGGGAAAAACCACATAAATGCATAGAATGTGGAAAGAGCTTCAGTCAGAGGGGCAATCTGCGTATCCATCAAAGAACCCACACAGGAGAGAAGCCACATAAATGCATGGAATGTGGAAAGAGCTTCAGTCGGAGTGACAGTCTGCGTATTCATGAAAGGGCCCACAAAGGAGAGAAGCCACATACATGCATAGAATGTGGAAAGAACTTCAGTCGGAGGGGGAATCTGCGTATCCATCAAAGAACCCACACAGGGGAGAAGCCACATAAATGCATTGAATGTGGAAAGAGCTTCAGTCACAGTGACAGCCTGCGTATTCATCAAAGGGCCCACATAGGAGAGAAGCCACATAAATGCATAGAATGTGGAAAGAGCTTCAGTCAGAGTGGAAATCTGCGTATCCATCAAAGGACCCACACAGGTGAGAAGCCACATAAATGCATGGAATGTGGAAATAGCTTCAGTCACAGTGTGAGTCTGCAGAGCCATCAAAGGAGACACACAAGGGAACATGCATTAGACATCAAATAGCTCACACACAGCTAGAGGAGACCTGCCAGTATGTTTCCAAGGGTCCCAGGTAGAGAAAAACTTGGGGCAAAGGACAGGAAAAGAAGGCTGCCAACTTGCTCTCTGTCTATGTGCAGCAGTTTGTGTAGTCGGGCTTGACTGGTTTTGACCGGCCTCTCTCTCCCGGCTTCTTCCCGGCCTATCCCCAAAACACCTCCTCCTCCTGTGGGGCCTCCTCGGGGAGGAGAAGGAGGCCCCTTCCTTCGAGTGGAGGTGAGTGAGTGAGGGGTAGGCCTGGGCCCTTGGCGTGGCCTTTCTTCCTCTGGGCATGATGGGGTCAGGCTGGGTGGCCTTTGGGATCTCCCCCCCCCCCCCAGACTGCCTGGGCGTTTGGAGGAGCTCCCTTCCTGCCTGCCTGCCTTCCTTCCTTCCTTCCTTCTCTGGAAGTTTTAAGCGGAGGCTGGATGGCCATCTGCAAGGAGGGATCGGGTGGTGCCTTCCTGCTTGACAGAAGAGGATTGGGATGGGTGGCCTCGAGGGTCCCGCCCGACTCCCTCCTGCCCTGACCACCCTGGACACTGGGGAGGCTTTCCTGGGGGTCCAGCGGGGGGGGGCTCCTCCTTCCTTCTCGGGAGGGTTCTCAGCAGAGGCTGGGTGGGCATCTGTCGGGAGGGCTTGTGCTATGTCCTCCTTCCTGGGCTGGGTGACCTTTGGAGTCTCCTCCAACTCTATGTCTCACCGTTTATTTGTCTACCACAATTCTCTACTGCCCTTCTCACCCCAAAGGAGACTCAGAGCGGCTCACAAGAGGCATTTACACACAATGTATTATATTATTCGCATTATATATTACTCTATTGTACTATACAATTGTATTGTAATATTAGTAATGTCACGTGTCCTATAAAATATATATTTATAATATCTGATTATTAAGATTATATTGTATTACATTATAACATTATAAATACAGGGAGGAGGGAGCAAGCTTCCTTTCTGCTTCCCTGGAGACTAGGACGCAAGGGAACAATGGCTTCAAACTACAAGAGAGGAGATTCCATCTAAACATTAGGAAAAACTTCCTGACTGTGATAGCCGTTCTGCAGTGGATCTCTCTGCCCCGGAGGGTGGTAGAGGCTCCTTCTTTGGAAGCTTTTAAACAGAGGCTGGATGGCCATCTGTCAGGGGTGATTTGAATGCAATATTCCTGCTTCTTGGCAGAATGGGGTTGGACTGGATGATGGCCCAGGAGGTCTCTCCCAACTCTTGGATTCTATGATTCCCTGATTCTATATTATATGTATACACAATATATTACATTATATTATTCGCATAGTACAATATCAGTGTTATATATTACTATATTGTACTATGCCATTGTATTGTAATATCATTAGTAATATTCCATGTATATATGTATACACAATGTATTACATTGTATTATTAGGATTATATAGTATTACATTACAAGACCTCCCTGAGTCGCCTGCGGGCTGATATGGCCGGGATATAAGTGATGTAAGTAAAAAAATAAATACATTATGATATTATAAATATTATATGTATACACATATTATATTATTTGCATAGTACAATATCAGTATTATATTACTAAATTGTACTATACCATTATATTGTAATATTACATGTTCTATAAAATATATATTTATAATATCTTCTTCTTCTTAGGATTATATTGTATTACGTTATGATATTATAAATATTAGATGTATACACAATATTTATTTATTTATTTATTTATTTCCGTCACTTTTACCCCGCCCTTCTCACCCCCAAGGGGGGACTCAGGG